ACATGCGTCAGTTGCCAGAGGTGCAAACAAGCCCCAAACACCAGGGTAGGAAAGCTCGCATCTGAAATTGTGACCAACCCATGGGAGAAAATTTTCATTGACCACATCGGTCCCCTCCCTCTTTCTCTCAATCGGAATAGATACATTCTTACCATAGTTGACTCCTTCTCAAAGTTTTGCCTCATGATCCCCGTTAGGAACACCAAGGCCGAAACCACAGCCAATGTTCTCAATAAACAGGTTTTTTCTATTTTTGGACCACCCAAGTATTTAGTCTCGGACAACGTTTCGCATTTTAAATCCGTCACCGTAAGGAACCTTTGCATGGGTCTAGGAATCCAACACATCTACACCAGTCCATATTATCCCAACCCCTCACATGCCGAGAGGGTCAACAAACAGATTAAAATTGCAATCCGGATTTTCCATCACCAGCATCAAAAGCACTGGGACCAGGACTTGCACTGGTTTCAGATAGCCTTTAATTCCGCTCAACATGAATCAACCAAAGTTTCCCCAGCCCGTTTATTTCTTGGTAGAAACCTGTACCACCCCTTGGAGTTGCATTGGAACCTGGACAAATTGGTTGACGAGCATGCTTCCCCACAATCCTCACGTGAGGAATGGGAAAGGGCAGTACAAAACCTCACAAAAGCTAGGCAACGTAGGCAGCAAGGCTACGACTTAAACAGATTGCCCAATCCCTACAAGACGGGAGATTGGGTAATGTTTAAGGAACATCATTTAAGCAAGGCTGCCGACTCAATCAATCAAAAGCTGTTGCCTGTCTGGTCAAAGCCTTGTGTTATAGAAACATTTTCATCACCAGTTACAGCACGTTTGATAAACCCATCCACAGGTAAATTCATCAGAAATGCACATATCTCTCAATTGAAGCGTTTTTTCCAACCACAATTTTGAAATACTCCCTTTACCCAGACCAGAAACGCAGTGCCGATGTGATACTAAGTTAAGTCTTCCACCCTCTGTCTCTTCAACCGCCAACGCACGGGGGACTAGTGAGTCTCAGGGTATCCTTCCATAGGATGGGCTGCCCTACACGTCCCTTCCCCATGCGCTGTTGGTCAAATACCCCCTCTTCTAGTCTCCGACACCCCTGCTGAGTTGTTTTGAGTTTTTTTTATGTAAAAATTACTTTCCTGCTGGTGTTTTACCTTTTATGTTTAATTTTTTTAATTTTACCCTGCAGGAAAGGGCTCAGTAGAGGCACCTTCTGTGGCGACCTTGAATTCAGTCGAGTGTTGGGAGACAACCTCTCACTATACTCTTTCCTATCATCCCCTTGATCTCTTTCTTCCTTTCTTCTTAACTTAAGTAGTCTGTAGTGGTAACTGTAGTTAGGTCTTAGGAAAAACCAAAGATTATTTAAGTTAATATATAGGTTTACAAGCTTCCAATAGAAAATATTTTTGCCCGTCCCATCAACGCCCGTGTATCGCACCAAGAACAAAACCGGCACGAATCCAAAGAGAAACCGTATCGTCGGGACTTTGTTAACAGCAGCATGCTTGTGAAATCAAGAATAATTTTGCTAATTGCAGTTTGCATGCGTAAAAAAAAAAATAAAAAAAAAAATAAAAAAAAAATAAATAAATAAAAAAAAGGGGTTAATATAGAATTTGTATCCTTTCACACCTTCCAAACACAAAAGCACAGACAAAAATCGGTTTACGCGACCCACACCAGTCCAGCCTTGGTTACCCGGCACCTATCGTGGGTCAAATCCACAACGCCCCTGATAGATCACAGCCAACTCCGTCAGTGATCGGTCCACCGCCCTGCTACTTACCCTTCACCACCCTCAAGTAACACGACAGTTACCCTTTTTTATTTTTATATTCTCGGTAATACTTAAAACCTCAGTTTTTTTACAGTATAGCAGCTGCACAATCAAAAAAAAAAAATATATATATATATGAATTTATTAAAAGCACCTTGAGAATATTAGTAACAATATTTTTTTTTAAAGTGGGTATCCCTCAAAAAGAAGAAAGTCCCAGTGTAACACAACAGTGCGATTGCCTCGAAAGCAAATCCGGCAAAATGGACTCGCTGTGGACACAACCTGTGAATGGAACAGTGGACAGGAAGGAGAAGAGTGCGCAGCACTGGTGAATCAACCCAGACTCAGCCTCCAGCAGCTTCATCCTGGTTAGCACTGCTAGCAGCTTCGCCTTGGCCAATAGTGCCTGCAGACCGCAGAACTCCCAAAGTGACATCACAACCCGTCTACTCCAAGACACCACCCACAAAGCCACGAAGCAGTCACTGCGGCGAAGCGTCAAGCAGACTACCAACAGCCTATGCCACACAAGCTGCGCCAACTCATCCTCTACAACCGCCAGCCTGGAACAAACCAACCCAAACTGCGAGTGCCTTCTCCCACCCTCACAAAAACGAACAGAACAGTCAGTGTTCCCAAACCTTCCCCTTTCAAGAAACAAAATCAAAACAGTGCATAATAAAAAAAAAAATTAAAAAGAAAAATAATAAAAAAAAAAATTTGTGCGTGCAGTTGCCAACCTTATCGTTTCCAAAATGCAATTCTAGCTCAAATGTTTTCCCAAACAGGATAGCATGGCTGTCGTAACCCACATTCCTTCCTCATTTTTGCAGGGGGGGTGGATCCCGATCTCTGTCGTATTTGGCTCAACCAATCACAAAAACATTCACATCCCCAAAAAAAAAGGTGCCCAAGGTCCCAAGTCGAGCCGGACTGGTTTGGGGTTTTCTGTTTCACCCATCGATTTCTCGGCTTCCTTTTGAACCAAACCGGGAAAGGTATCTGAGGACCCAGAAATTATGATGCGGAGAAGCAACTCGAGCGAACACCTTCCTTTTTGAAACACTACACACCTCTACTTTCCTTCCCTAACCAAAAAAAAAAAAAAAAAAAAAAAAACCTTGAGGGGGGGTGGTTGTGACGCTCAGCGCCACTATTTTATATAGTGCCACACAACTAAATCGCTGGCCTTGCGATCGGCGCGCCTCCTTCGGTCTGCCGCTTGCCTTTTTTTCGAGAAACGTCAAGGAGCTACGAAATCGAGTTTTCCTCGGTCTTGTCTGTCGCCGGCCTCCGTCCCCTTCGTTGGATTTTCTGATTGTCCGTTTACTGAGATCGACATGCCTTCGTTTTATCAGGATGAGTCTATAATTAATTATTAAGTAGAGCTAAGACCAGGATGATAGGCTAGTTTAATTATTTAAGGGGAAGCCGGCAGGCTTTCGCCCCATTCGCAGAAATGTAAATTCCAAATTATATGATTACCTCGCTTAACGAGGTAATCATTCCTAGACATGCAAAAATCACCACGTTGAAGGCTTAAGTATCAATTCTTTCAGGAATCGCCTTATGAGTCCAAATTGATTCAATAATGAGTTAGGGAGTGATATTTGCCGGTTTTTTATTCATTATCATTTACACTATCTACCAGTTTAGTTTGGAAGGTTAGCTATAGTTCTTTTAAATAGTTAAAAATAAGTAATCAAAGCTGGCTTGGCCTGCTTCTGGTCTGGGTAAAGATTTCCGCCCTCTGGTTCCCCAACAACGTTTCCAATTTAATTGTCATTTCAAGATGGTAGTAGAGTACAGTACTTTCTTAATTGCAACATGTTAAGGTCCTCCAGGCCCTAACACCCACAACAGCCAATTACCAACACATTTCACTTAATTACAATCAATACATCACATCACCACAGAATCAATAATCAGTTTTCACACCATCAATCTCACCAAAGGGCCACAATTATGTGAATGTTTGTCGACTCTGTCCATATTGCGGCGCCAATCAACGCTCGGACCTGAGTATTGATTGTGCACCTGTACCAGGACCTAAGTGATCCACCTGAAATCCACCCCTTCCCACTTTAAATGTTCCAGAACGTCCAAAATCAAAGAGACATGAGCGCATTCATGTCACTCAGTATTTTGCTTCATTCTCAAAAATTTAATTTTTTATATTTTGCCCCAGAAACTCCTGGAAAACATATCTGAAAGAGTCCCTAATGGTGGAAAATCATTATAATTTTTTTTTATGAACCTGAGTGATTTTACTAAGTGCTTTTCAATATTATTTCGTTGATTTCAACGGTGGGGCGTTCCCACTATTTTACACTAAATAAAAATTATATGAAAATAGTTCTTTAGAAGAGTTAGCATTGTAAAACAAGTAGAGGTATCATTCCTGTATCTATGTGTTGTACTTAAATGAATAAAGTTATAAGAAATTAAATGAAAGGTTTAGTAGCTGCTAGATTTTTGAGCCGAGCACAAAGTCGGAAAATTGAGCTCAGGGCGAGCTTTGTATCGCTATTGTAAAACGCGTCTGCAAAGTTCTTGCGATCAAAAAATTCACTCTTTGATGTCCATAATTTTTCCACTATCGTGGATGATGATGATGATAATGACCACGAGACTGTTAGATATTCAGGATTTTGCCAGGATCGCGGACGGCCATGATAACATTTCCATGACCACAGAAGACGACGATGATGACCACACGAGTGAGGGATTTTTTCGCAATGGCAGAAGACTATGATAACGTTTCTGTAACTGCGGGAGACGACAACAATGTGTGCAAACAGCGGAAGGTATCCAGTATTTTGCCTTGATCGCAGATGACTATGTTAATGACTATGGGAGATATTCAGTTCAGGATTTTGCCAAGATCAATGGAGATGACATTTCTGTGACCGCAGAAGACGTTGATGATTACCACACAGTTGTGGGGGATATCCAGGATTTTGCCGCAATTGCGGAATAATAACTTTAGGAGTTATTACAATAATTTAAATTTATGTGATTACCCTCTGAGGAAAATGAAATTAAGTGAAATTTATTACAAACTTAGATCTCACTCTTCTCTACAATAGTACTGTAAATGTCGATCCAGAGTTGTTAAACAGAGTGTCTACTTTATTACGAATATTCCCAAGTTACTTATTATAGCATAGTTTATACATGTTAGATGTCTTCTTACCTTCCTCTTTCCAAACCAAGAAACCTCTTCCAATTTCTCCATTTTCCAAAATTATATGGATTAATGTAGAGCTGAAAATAAAAATTTGTATTGCTTATTGGTTAAATCAATTTCAAACACTTATTTGTTAACTAATTTTGTTTAAATTATAGCCTACATTTAAAATAAGGCATTGTAATATTTGAACTAAATTATAAAAACATTGCTTTAATTATTGGGTGGTAGGCCTAAATACTACTAGACACCCTGACTTAAGACTAATCACAAAACCCATTCCTTCTAAATAATCAATGTCTAAAAATTAGCCAAGCCTACCCCAAGCCTAGAACAGTAAAAAGTATTTTTTAGTGTCTTGTGGGCTTTAATTTGGCTATACTTTAAAACTGAACAAAATATGTCCAACTTTTGATTAAATCAGTGAAATTCTGAGTGAGACATCAAAGTTGATGTATTTATTCACTTTGGGTCAAAGCAGCACCTAAATACGCCACAACTCTGTCAAGGTTAATGGTAAGTCACTTCTGTGCAAATTGACACACTACTAAAAACAGATTACTAGTAGGGATAATCTAACCTAACTATTCTGCCAAAAATAATAGTGACAAAATATTGGAAACCCATTGGAAGTGCATTTGAACAATATTTTTTGGGGTACAGTACTTACAATTTTGCAGTTTTACTTTCTTATGCTGAGAAGAGGTTACATTAGGGGTGTAGTTTGGTTAAAAGTTTTGGCTAAAATTATGTTGGCAGTAAAACAACACAAACTGCACAATTTGATTTTCAAAACTGACAGCAATTGTAGCAATTGGTTGGTGTAAAGAAAAAAAAAACACCTCGATAGACATGACCTTAGTCTCTCCTTAATAACATCTCCAGTGGTTTCCAAACAATATCAGACAGAAGGCACAAATATTGATTGAATTTAAGATTGATTCTAATTTGGCCTCATGCATGATCCATATAAATAGGTACACAATTTTATAAAATTGTAATTATAATGATCCTACCTTATTTTGTTTAGCGAGTCTCTTAGTTTCAGATTTATTTATATGTGCTTCAATGCTTGACTCTCCTCTTGATATCAGTTTAGCATGCCAAATGGCAAGAAACAAGAGCGCTACAAACGCACCTGAAATCAACGAAAGTTAAACATGATCAGAGAAAACTAAATTTAGCTTAGCTCAACAATCCTTATATATAATACGTGAAGGTGATTTCTACAAAACACTACTCCTCCGTGAATAATTGACAGATTTTTATAAACGAGGTGTCAAAATTAAGTATTTTTTCTGTGGACGACCCCTTTCACCAATTCCTGTAATAAAAGTCTTCGGGCTATGCCCCACAGGCCATCAAAATCCCAATGTATTTCTTATGAAGAAAAGATTTTGTTGACTTAAACAGACGAATAATTTGTATTAATTACAGCTGTTCATAGTAATGATACACACAAGAGCGTTTGTTTTCAGAGTTCGTTTTCAGTTTCGATCACTGGAGTGGAGTGAGCGTTCGTTTTCAGAGTGAGTGAGTTTCCAGTTTCGATAACTGGAGGGGAGTGATTGATTACTTTATCTTTGCGTTTACTCTTTTATGTCATCAGAAATAGTGACTGTTATTCGTTTTGAAATAACGCGTTTAATATTTTGCAATTGCTCGAATTCGAGCAACAGGTGCAACTAGTTTTATTAATTATTTGTCTAGAAACTATATCTTGTGCATGATTAAATAGTTTACAAATAAAACAAATTTTCATTTAATAATAGTAGAATGAATGTGAGTGATACTTCAGCCGGACTACCATGGTCACAGCATTTTGCCAACTGAATAAGAGTTTTTATGAGGTTATTCATCAAAGAGTATACCAACACTTTCCTATGCAAACTATCACATTGATAAGCATTGTGTGATAAGTATTTGTCAAAAGATTAGGCTATTACAACATGTTACTCACCACTACAAATAAACGCCATAAAGATGATGGATCTTCTGCGCCACTGGGGCTCAGGCTTTCCTGACGACCGACTCTCCATCTCCTCATCCCACTCTACCTTTGAGTGAAAAACAATACTTTGAAACACACTTTTATGCTATGAATTACATAAGGTTATGTTGCTTGATCAAATGTTCATACAGTAGACTCTCAATATTCCTGTTGTGGACAGTGAAGGATTACTGAGAATAGCAATGCTATCTAGAATTGAGTACTTTTTAAATTAAAGGCTGTTGATAAAAAAAGGTACTAGGCCATTTTTCTAAGTAAGTCTGACCTTAAGAGTCTTCTTCACCCCTGCCTACAACCTAACAAGGTATGTTTAAAATTGTTATATACCCGGGTTTCAAGTGTATTATGAATATTCGAGATTTAAAGGGATTCGAGATAGCAAGGGATTCGAGGTATCAAGATTCAACTTATCGAGGTTCTCCGCAGGTGCTACCTACCACAGGTTCAGAGCCGGTGTTGTTAAACCGAACAGGATGACCGACCAGGTCCTCATCAATCCTTTCCTCCAGCCACACCTCAGTGTACGCCAGCTCAAATCCAAACACCATGATGAAGAGAGTGCTTGCCACGATGTAGACCATGTACATGAAGAAGTATCTGTGGTTGTAATGGCCAACACAATTGTTGAGCCAAGCTGTGTCACAGTCAAGGTAAAACTATCTCAAAGTGTGTCTATCTTAACTAATTGTGAGACTAAAAGAACAGTTGTTATTAATGAATTCATGCAAAATGTCCTAATATGAGGAATTGAACTTAACAAGCAATAAATTATAAGTAAGCCCTAAAATTGGTTGAAGGATACGACAGTGATGATCCATCTTCAGCACACAACGGTTACACACAGAGCAGTGATGGGTCCGGGGAGGCTTGGGGGCAATGCATTTCTTGCAGATACTGACTGCTTCTGGGATCAGTGTATCCTGAAACAACCAGTCAGTGGTGATGTTCAACTGACAATTGATAATCATAATGATAATTAATTACTAACTATAACCAAATTATTTACTATCCAAGATTAAGAATATTAGGTTCCTTCGTATCTTAATATGCAATTCTATATTCAAAGATTCTTTTTTAATTATGGTTATGTTTTGAAAAAGAGTCTTGTGTCTTTCTGGCACGACTACTATTGTACTAGTCAATCGTACTAACTAACTAGATTACGCTTCAAATTCACATATGAGAATGAACAATGACAATTCCATCCATACAAATACAGTTTTCTTAATAGTTACTGTATTCATTCCAGATCAATCGCCCAATCAGTTTTGATTTCATTTAAATACTAAGTTAAATTAAATCATACTTTTTCTACCAAGTTAATAGGGGTTCTCACTATACTTTGGACCACTGGGCCAGGACTTAATCAGGGAATTTTGTTTATGGTAGGCCTAAGCAAACCTTTGTCAAAGAAGACAGGTTGGAGAAAGCAGCAATAAAACCAGGTAAACCCTAGAATAAATCTTTCAGTTACAAAAAAACTGGTCAAAAGTCATAAGGTAGAGAAACTTGTAATTATTAGGTGGAATAAGTATATTTCAATGCTTTGTTTAATTAGGGTATTTGTTAATTGACCCAATAAATCTGACTAGTCTCACTTTTTCAGTAGATTTATGTAACACAGGCAATCTAATTGAATGTAGAAGGTTGATTATACATTAGAACTCCGCCAATCCGACCTCGGCTGGTCTGACTCCTAGCTTAATCCGAACGTGCCACCACCCATGATAACTGAAAATGTTATCGCGGTCATATTGTGACTATTTGCCATGGTTGTGTGGAGAACACAACCATCCCCCGCGATCACGAAAACATAATCTTTGTTTTCAGTGATCAAGGACACATTTATCATAATCTTCTGTGATCGATGAAAATATTCAATGTCTCTGACAGTCATAGGAAGATTATTATCCTCGTGATTGTGAAAAAAATCCTAGACAAATCCCTTGGTCATGGAAAATTAACATTTCCTTAAGTAACCTTGACAAAATCCTGAAAATCCCCAGTGGTTGGCAGGAAACTTGATCTTGTATATCTACGATCAAAGCACACTCTTGAATATCTCTTGTGGTAAAAGAAACAACATCATCGTCTCCTGCAATTGTGGTAAAATATTGAATGGTACCTGCAATCGCGGAAACATCATCGTCGTCTCCCGCGATCCCAGCAAAATATTAGGTAATTATTAGGTAATATTAGGTATTAGGTCTCTTGTGGTCACCGGTTTATTACCATCTTTTACAAGATCACGAGCAATAAAAATAATGTCAGTTATGCTATTTGTTTATTTAATATGCTTCACGAATAGTCTGACCTTTTCACTGTTCTGACCAAGGTCTACTCGGTCCCGTAGGAGTTATAGTGCGCGCTTGAAAAATTATGTCCTGACCTACAATGTGTCATAAGTGTTTGAAAATAATAAGCTAAATCCTTTTTCTGAAATAATTATTCATTTTCTTAAATGTCTGACTAATCTGAATTTCTAATAGTCGAGGAATACATGGTGACATACATGGTGGATACATGATCTGACACCCTCCCACTCACAAAAAGGTTAGATTTTTTAGAGGCACTGTTTTTAAAACTAAAAATCAGCTATCCCAATTATCAAAGACAATGTAACTAACAAAATCTTAAATTATAAGTTAATGTGTTCTACATTTTTAAAAGAACAATTAACAAAGAAGTCAAATGATCCAATATTAATATTATTTTTTACAAAAATGCACAGCATACAGACTAATGTTCTCAGTTATGCAAAATAACACTGTGAACAATATGACTCTACCTGAGGAGGGTATCCTGGAGGTGTGACAACACCCATGTAGTAATTAAACAACGTGTTGATAAGTAACCAATGGCCAACCAGTAGCAGGCCTACAGTTACACGCCAGTCCCTGTCCCACCAGTAAGGTAGACCAATCCAATAGCTGATCACAATCACTGCCCCCATCAGGGCTACCACGCAAGTAACAAACAGCTGTAAATATCAAATCATATTTATTTACCTTTAATAACAATGTTTAAAAGCAAACCAAAGGGCAAGGTTTTATTTACATTTTTATAAATAAATTTTGAACCATATTCAGCTGATCCATTAGGACAGCAAATCTACAGAGGGAATACCTTTAATCTATTTCAGGGGTCTCCAACCTTTTTCGTCCTAGAATTGAGTTGTCAATTTTTGGAGGAAAGGCCGGAATGTTAACATATCAAAGTAAAAAACAAGAAAGTTTTCTAAATAAATGCTCAGCTGTGATTTTTGGCATTTCCTTGCTGATTGTTTAGTTGCTGTACTTGTTGACTAACTAAAATTCTTTACGCCGAGACCACTAAATGTACTACCGGTAACTGGTTGCTGTGATCATAGGAGACAATCACAGTATCGACGAGACCGAAAATGTACTTACATGTTGCTATGATTGCGAGTGACAATTACGGTATCGCCAATACCACAAGATATGCCTACAAGTGTTGCCACAACTTTTACAATCATCGGTGTATTCCATCATATAAAAATAATTATTTCTTAGTAGACCTGATAAAATCTGTCTGCGGGCGATAGGTTGGAGAACCCTAATTAATGGTATTACCATGTAAAAAAAAATAATATCCTAGAAAGTTGATTTACTTACAGGTCCCAAACATTTTGTGAAGTTGTCGACAAACCATATCATGGGCTCCATCAACACATCAGCTGCGTAACTTTGGTCAAGATGTTTGTTGCAGAATAGGGAGTTAAAGCATAATTTGACATAAGTAAAGTAAATCATCATGTTTGGCCTGAAAAAAATACAAATTACTAAAAATGTGTATTATTACAAACAAAATTTAGCAAAAACATGTCTTACTGGGTTACCGTACTTATAAAATATATCAATCAACAAATTAAAAATATCTTCAACCTATCCATTGCCAATCTCAGATTTTTATGACTAGGCCTACATACCGGTAACTTACTGTACAACCAAATTAAAGAGAGTAACTTAGACACTCTCAGATTGATGAGAGTTGGTCTATTTTCTTTTGATCTATGGTACAACATACAGTAAAAATGTCTATGAGATCCTAGGCTTATAAAAGAAGGTGTGCGCACGTGCATTCCTCAGTTAGGTAAGATGAAAAGGTGCAGTTACGGTGAAAAAAAAAAAAAACTGTGTATGTGGATTAATAAAAATTCTATGTTTTATCTGTGAAACTAGCCTAGGCGGGTACAGTTTCCTAACTGGGCTACCTATGCTAAGTTAATATCGATTGAAACTATCGGATTGAAAATATTGATTAGTAATATATTTTATAAATGCTCTATTACAGTAGACTCTTGATAATTCGAAATTGGTGGGCCAAGCAAATAAATTTGAATTATCAAGAGTTTGATTTATCGCGAGAAAAATAAACCATTCGAATTACAGAGAGTTCATTTGTTTAATACATACAAAGGTACAGCACGTTACAATAAAACATCATACCGTATTTTAGTACACTTTTAAACAATCAACAGCTTATTTTTCAGTTACTGTAGTTGCAAAGAAATCTGTTATTTAGCGCTATATATTTCGCCAATAGCTGAACTATCAGCTGTCGACAACTACGTTTGTGCTCAAGGAGATGTCGCGCAATCTAGAGATTGGATTGCCAACTTAGAAAAACAAGTCAGCGAACTAACTCAGACTACTGCTCTAACTAAACAAACATCAAAACGCCCAACACTAGCCTACCATGGGAACAGGATGTACTGTACTGTAAAGTTTCCTGTTATAACAGGAAGAGATCACTTCGAATTATAGAGTGTTTTGCCGACTAAACTTCGAATTACTACGTGACTTTGATTTATAGAGTGTTTTGTCAACGAAACTTCGAATTACTGAGTTACTTCAAATTATAGAGTGTATTTCCGACGAAACTTCGAATTACTGCGTGTTACAAATTGACCTGCCCTCTATTTGGACTTTGAAATACCGAGTGTATCAAAAAGCATGGTAAAAATTTGAAATATTGAGAGATTCTCTAGGGACTGAGCCTTCATTTTGAATTATCGAAAGTTTTGAATTATCTAGGCTAGTGTTTGAATTACCAAGAGTGGACTGTATAAAATTAAACTGTCATTACCTAACCTAACTGACCAAACTTGCTGATAAGTTAATGAAAAAATCGCAAGAATCAAGAAGGTTTAAGTTACTTATCGAATCGATATTATCATAGGCCTAGCCCAGTTAAGAAACTGTAGGCCTAGGCCTACCCGCCTAGGCACCAAATTTAATCAGCTCTTTAACTTATAATTACGGCTAATTTGAATCTACATTAAAAAACCTACCTTGTTTTACTCGTGATGTTCCTTAAAGTTCTTCCCATTTGGGTGTCTTAGGGTCTCGAATATGACTGGACTGAATATTGTAAACAAATTAAGTTAGGCCCTAGCTAATATTAGGTTCAATCATGGAAGAAACAATCGGAATTAACTTAACCTAGAATGACAAATAACTTAACCGTACACTAAAGGGCCATACAACTTAATGATTAACAACAGAGCGAATTTAGAGGCCTACTTTAACAGAATTTGTTGCTAAATTGGTCGAAACTTTCCATTAAATTCGGCGGTAACAAATGACAGAAACATTGATATAATTATAGACTAACCATGATAATATAACTAAATTACAAGCAGAAGGAGAAGCTAGGCTTCTTAAAACAATACATAAACAAACATAAACATAACCATAAAATATTGGAATGGAATTGGAATTAACAGGAAACAGGACCCATAAATGGTTCAGTCTCAGTGCTCCAGCTCCGTCCAATCTTGCAACCATTGATTATTTTTTCAAAGTATCATAATATCATAGATAGATAAAACATACTGGTTAGTCTATGATAATATCTACAGATGGCCCTAGTCTTCCTTTAATCCAGCTACTAGGTCACGAATTGTGGATATTTATAGGCATGCACTGTGGATGCGATGCTCCCTAATGTGAATTAACGTCCGCACTAGTGAGTACTACGAGTATCCGCAGTATCACAGAAAACATACAGAAGTTTGGTAATACAAGATTATTTCTCACAATGTTTAGAAATCATCAAACTCAATACCTACTATGACTTCAGCAACAGTCATAAGATGAAAAACATCTTTACACGACACGAGATAGAGGTGCTCAGGGTTTACTTAAGATAAATTCGAACATTTTCGCAAAAGGGTACGGATTTAGAGCTCCACACTTTACTCAATCTAACCTGAAAATGCTGCATCTCTATAGCCAATATGATTCTACTAAAGTAAGTATCTGTGTTCGGATTCCAATCTTATCAAGGATCAAAGAAACTTTATTTCATAATTCACAAAATACAATGGGGGCTATAACAATATTACTAATACTAAATATAATTTACATCACAAAATAAGCTGTTACAGATTTAGAAGGGAGCAGACGAAAAATCACTTTCAAAGTATATTCTGACCAGGATCAAGATAACCTTATATCATACGACCTCACGGTATCTAAACCGTGTATAATTAAATATTATGACTGCTTTTAATTTTATGACTATGGCTGAGTGGTTATAGTGCTCGCCTAGTAATCTAAAGGTCACCGGTTCGATCCTGAGAAAAGTCGGTAGCTTTTTGATGGTTCGAAACTGGACCCAGCGCTGTTCCTGATCATTGGACTTAAAAAAAATATCCTGACTAATGAAACCGCTGATCTTAGTCATTAACAAAGCTACACAGGTCATCACACACCATTCTACACGCATCCTTCACTCATATTCGGGTTAAAATACGCACCTTGGTGGCGTCCGCATCTCAATGATTGATGATTGATATGTTCATCATCCATTGTAAGCACGGGCAAAGTTACTAGACTCCGTTCACAAAATTCAGGATGTTTTAGGAAAAGAATAATATAATGCCCACCACTTTCCACGAACATTCTCTAAAATAGTAGTTCAACTGAGAAGATCATGTTTGCCAGTCAGCTGCAACATAAACTAAGAAAAAAATAGTGGGGAACTTCCCCATGCCATGCCCAAATCGCCTAAATTTGTTGAACGGAATATACTTTCAACAACATATTTGTATATTGTGGTATTGAATTAAATAAATTATTATTTATAGCCTCTAAAACATTTTTTGATTTAGTTAAACTCATCTTCACAAATAATAATTACATAAGTTAGCAAACCATCTTAATAAAGAATAAAAAACACCTACACATATACCAGCCTCTTTTATATATGGTAATACCGTCTATTTACTTTATTTTTTAAATAAAGGAAAGTTTATAAAGAAAGGCTCTGGCTAGTGGCTACTGAAATTTGATGTTTTATCATCAACCGGTCATATCTTGGTCTTGAATTAATTGTAGTACTAGTACAGTATTTCGAAACAGTAATATATTCCCTGCTAAAACCTCCAAACTCAAACAATATCATAATCATAGGGGAAAAGATGGACAAAAAGAGCAGAGAACATCGTAGTATCATGGATAAATATTCCCAGACCACCAACGAAAAAAAAAATAACCTAAATAGTAAATAATAAACCTAACCTATATCCATGTTTCCATGTTTGTCAATATGTCATTTTGTATAGCATAATAATTAATTGTTACCTGTCACATTAATTTTCAACGTTTAGTTAACAAACAGTTAAAGTTAATGTTGAAATTTTTAATGGACTCCTACTTTAGTTGGTCTAAACAATCACAAGCTCTCTGGATTTGAACATTTTTCGTGCTTGAAAGGTTATCATAGGCCTTGTGTAAAGGTTAGTTTAATAATTATTCTTTGTTTATCCCAGTTTCAAGAACATGAATTAGTGTTTGGACATCGAACCAGTAACATCGATAGTAGTAGTATCGGCTGCACTTTACTTTAGGTCCTACACTTATTCGAATGAAAATATCTATTATTCGATTGTTTCATTCGATATATCGTTAGGTTGGTTAGGTAAGGTTAACCTAACCTAACTACAGTCGATAAAACAATAGATTAATCGATATGTCGATCGATATTTTCATTCGAATGAGTGTAGGACCTAAAGTAAAGTGCAGCCGTAGTATCGATAGTCATATCGGCCTTTAAACATTTGATTTAAGGTATGTCCGATATTTAGTAAAACATCGACAAAATGCTAAATAGGCTAAATTAAATATCTATTTACTTCATTACATTTTGTAAGTTAGGCCTACCGTACAGGAAAATATAAATATTACACCGTAACCATAAAAGTTTGGTTACGATTGTCCGCGCGGTTGGAGCTCATTTTCAAGCATTTGGAGTTGTTTTTTTTAGTTTGTGCTTGTGCGTTTCGGTTTATAGGTGTAAAATGTTCGATACAGACAAATTAATAGAACTTGTTAAAGACACACCATGTTTGTGGGATTTCTCAAGTTGTACATATTTCATGTTGTACATTTCTCATGGGTGTATCTTCCTTAGTTATATGCGGTCGAAGCAATTGAAATAGCTCGTCAAACGATGCTATCTACATGCGATAGTAATAAAAAAAACTTCCGAACTATGGTTTCGCATGTGCTCGTAAACGGTTTGGAACACAAATGGTTTATCGGGATGGACCCAATGATTTGGGTTAACCTAGGCTCTAGCTTACCACACGCTTCTAAATGCACAAAGTAACATAAGTGTTTCGTCCATGACTACAACAAGAACGAGTGAATTAAACCATAACCATGTTCTAATCTTACAGTGCGTAGACTGGGAAACCTCCAACCGGAAGCGGTTCATCCGCTCCGTGTGGCCGGGACATCATCGCGCGGCTTATGATCGTACGATCATAAGCCGCCCGGACGATCCGCCACAAGTGGCCTGTCCTATGAGAAGGTTCTTTAAATGAGATTTTGTAGATCTGGCGACAAACTAGTCAAAATCGTGAAATTTACATGTACAATTCATTCACCAGAAAAGATGGACATGCATTGGCGGATCTAGAACAGCCACAAGGGGGGGGGGGGCGAACCAGGGCGTCCAGGGGGTTAGGGGGACCCCCCCCCCCCCGAATAATTTGTATAAAGTATGTCTCCAAAATGGCAGTTTTATACGATTTCTTTGTCCTAAGTTAGTGTGACAAATTATTTTACGCAATTTGTATGCACTACTGTATTACATGCAGTAAAAAATATATGTATATGCATGCCCAAGGGGGGGGGGCGGTCGCCCCCTTCGCCCCTTTTCTGGATCGGCCACTGTGGGCATGTCTCTCAAAACCATGTAACATAGCCTACTTACTCTTACTCTCATGGCCATTTGTACCCCAAGTGGTAATGGCCTCACCAACACGCCTCCATGTCGTCCTGTCTCTTGTGGTATCTTCATTCACTTCCATCCCTTTACTTCATCAGTCCAGCGTTTCTTCGGTCTCCCTCTTGGTCTTCTCCCCATTGGATCACTTTTCCATATTTTGATATAATGTGCTTGTTTCCTCTCTTCTAATGATGTGGCCTGTCCAGCGAAGCCTCCTGCTTTTAGCCTCTGCGATTATATCAGGCTTCTTGACAGGTCCCTTAGTTCCCGATTATGTTTAAATCTCCATACGTCTCCTTCGTTTTAGGGACAAAGATTTTGCGCAGGACCTTGTTTGAAAAAACATAGTTTTTCTCTGTATTTTGCTCCATAACCCAGGTTTCAGCTCCATAAAGAAGGACAGGTCTTACATCTTTCTGCCTGACTAGCGCTTTTCTTCTTTTCTACCCCTATGCGCTGCTTTACTTTTACTAATATTAAATAGTGGTTTGACCCACATTCTGCACTTCTGAGACTACGAACATATAGGATGCTTGACTTGTGTCTTTGGTCAACAAGGACATGTTGATCAAATTGGTTTTTAACCAATTTATCAATTTATTTGGTTTGGAGATACCCATGTTTCCTTGTATATGTTTTCGTGTGGGAACACAGTGCTTACAACTTTGAGATTCATTACTCCACTAAAACTTACTAAGTCTTACTCTGTTATCATTGGTAACTTCATGAAGGCCATGTTTACCAGCAACCACTTCCCATATACTTTCTTTGCCAATTTTTAGATTGGCATCCCCAGAACTATTCTAAGGTTATACTTGGGTAACTAAGTGGTTAATGCACGTAGCTTAAATACATATAAATATACAACTGAGCAATAATTTTAACCTATTTTATAAATCTTACATAGGCACTAACAGACACTAACTATTTAAAAGTTATTACAAGTATAAACCTTTGAATTAGAGAATTATTTGCAGATTATCTAATAATTCCTGGTTGACCTAAGAAATAATACAATCCCCACAAAATTTGATACCGTACAAACACCTACTATGAAGATTATAACGAAAACCATAGTACCTACTTAATAACCAAACCGTTTTCCAGGTAGGCCTACTACAGTATGGAAGAGTTCCGGGAGTGTGCTGATATCAATGAAGGCAGCAGATACAAACATGAGAGAACTATTGTTCATATAGACTTGGATTGTTTCTACGCTCAGGTTGAAGAATTAAAGAATCCCGAGCTTTCAACTAAACCTGTGGGCATCAAACAACAACATTATGTAATCACAAGTAATTACGTTGCTAGAGAATATGGTGTTAAAAAGTGTATGTTGATAACAGAAGCTTTAACATTATGCCCAAAACTAATTTTAATAAATGGAGAAGACTTGCACGATTACAGAATTATGTCAACCAAGGTCTCTGATATAATAAAACAATTCAGTTCTAAAGTTGAAAAGCTGGGATTGGATGAAAACTTTGTCGACGTTTCTCATTTGGTTGAAGTCAGAATGAACTCTGGAGGACAAAAAATAGTCAATTCAATTCAAGGTCATATTTACAAAAATGAAATTGAGGTGAATTGTGGCTGTGGCTGTAGAGACAGACTTACTGTCGGTTCACACATAGCAGAAGAAATAAGAAATAAAATAAGAGAAGTAATAGGATTGACTTGCTGTGCAGGTATTGCTCATAATAAGTTATTGGCTAAACTAGTATGTTCCACACATAAGCCCAATCAACAGACGACTGTATTCCCATGTTCTGCTTCTACCTTAATTTCAAATCTGAACCATGTACGTTCAATACCTGGCATCGGAAGGAAAACAAGTGATATACTCGAGGCTTTGGGCGTTTGTACAATCACTGATCTTCAGAATTCATCATTAAATCAACTGGAAAAACATTTAGGTAAACCACTTGCCTCTTGGATAAAAGGAGCTTGTTTTGGTGTGGATGATTCAGATGTAAAGGAAAGTGGGAAACAACAAATTATAGGTTTAGAAGAAGCAGCAAAAATGATAGCTACAATAGAAGAGGTACAAAAACGGATTTCTTCTCTGGTTGAAAGAGGTCTCATATTAATCGATGAAGATGGTCGCTATCCCACAGCACTTCGTGTAACAGTACGAAAATACTCATCAAGTGAAGAATACTCTAGGCAGAGGGAGAGCAAGCAATGTGCAATAAATAGCTCACTATTCAAATCAAAAGCTAAAGAAGAAATTTGTGAAATTGCTCTTGGTTTGTTTAAACAAATTGTTGACAGTAAAAAGCCATTCCATTTAACACTCATAGGAATAGCTTTTACAAAATTTGTAAATGTATTACCGGCAAAAAGTTCCCTTTTAAAATTCATGGACAGTAAATATGTAAAGAAATCTTCAAAATGTTTACCGGGAACAAGTGTTGAGAGCGAGGATATTTATGACAAAAATAACAAGCCTAATAATATTCCAAGTGAAAAATCTGGCAGTCCAGCAATTCTACCATTAAAATTAAGTCATATAGACAAATCGGTTTTAGACGAGTTACCACCGGACATAAAAGCTGAAATATTGCAAACTTATTCGGAAGAGAATACAAATCCTTCAACTTCTCAAGGATATTCACGGTGCCCTCCTGGAGTTGATGTTAGTGTATTTAATGAGTTGCCATTAGACATTCAGATGGAATTACTGAAGGAATCAGAAACCAACAATTCCAATCAATCAACTTCCAAGAAACAAAAATCAATTTTTCAATACATGAAAAGAGAAAGAGATACTAAATAAATAGTTGGTTGAGAACATAGGTAGGCCTACTTTGAATTATTGGTATTTAGTTTATTTCTCCAAATGAAGGAATGATCATCAGCGTATATCTAGAAAAATATATTTCAAATTTCATCTGTCCTTGGTCAGAAAATCATAAAAAACTCAAAGATGTATGTTTATCTAAGTTGTGGAATGTATCAGTTTAAATTTTGTCCTCATAATCTATCAGTTGCCTTGTCAAATTTGGTTCACTTTTTAAAATTTGATTGGTTTGGTTTAGATTCTGAGCTATGTAAATATGAAATAGGCCACAGGAATGATGAAAAGTAATGAGCATTCTCCACGTTTTCACAAAACCCTGAAAAGGTATTTTATCTATAATAATAGGCTATTGTTTTAACTTGCAATGCACCTTAAATTTTTCATTTTAGCTATTACTCATTACCGGTACATGAACTATTGCTTAAAATACCCAATAACTGTTTTAAAGATAATTCATACTTACAATGTTTCTTAAAATCTAGCTTCATCAATTAGGCTACACCACAGAAAGATACAGAGAAAACATATTATGATACATATGAAACAACCGTGCGCACATTTCGCAACAATTTCGTCGACACTAACGCCCAGTGTCATCTTACATGAACTAGACTCTAAAAACGAGCTTCAAAATTTACAATGGGATGAAAAGTCTACTTTATTGGTTAGTCTATGCTATTGGTGAATATTCTTGAATTAGTAAATTGTCTAAATTAACCCTATTATAATCGTAAAAAAGGGTATTGCATTATTCGTTTTGCCTTGGAATCGAACCTTATAAAAGTGTGCAATCTGCACACGGGTCTCCTTGTATTACTTCACTTTAATAACAATGGTATACCCAATGCTTTAGCACTAGCATATTAACTCTAGGGGTTGCATAGACTATTATATTTAAGGTGTTTTGTTAGATAGTTTTATTAATCGATAGAACTAATAAATGGCATGTCGATCAGGAAACAACCTTGTTTAGAATCACACCATCGGCAACTTTTAGATTTGAAGGTTGATTAAATACTTACCAAGGGCGGGTCCAGGGCTAATTTTCGGAGGGGGCCATTCTATCGAGGGTGTGGGGTTATTCTAATTCTAGGCCAGCATGGCCACAACGTCTGGGGGGTATGGAATACCCCCCATTGTGGGAGGGGGGTCCTCCCCCGGAAATTTAGGAAAAGTTATACTTACAAAGTCGACATTTTAAGCACTCTGACGAAGAAAAAGTTTGATCTCTTGTAATCTGAAAGGGAGAGTTTAAATGCAAAACTTCCTTAAACCATTGATAAACCTTTTTCTGTACTTACCAGCCCTGTAATTTCACCTATCTATTTTTAAATGTTTCACATTGTATTCCTTTAACAATGATTGTTTCAAAAAATAAAAAAGTTCCTTGCTTACTACATTTTTGACGTTTTTAGTGCTGTTAAAAATCGACCATCAATCTTAATTTGCCTAAATAAACTACAAAAAAATATGTCAAGGTTCAAACTAACTACACAGTAATAAGCACTGTCTAAAAATGTATAAATTTGAAGTCTTCATGTTAAAAAATAAGTGTAGCAAAGGTATGTTTGTGTAAAAGAGAGAGGTCCATACGACCCGCCGGTGGCGCCGGCCTCAATATCCCATCATTTTGAATGGCGGGCACGGCCCGTTTTTCCACCACACAGCGCACCAGTATCCAGGGGAGTTAGATTAAGCATACTCCGTATTAAGTTATAATGTAGGTGGTATCTGTAATACATTTCCCAGCCAGGCAGGTGAGCGTGCGAAACTGCGACGTTGATGATGTATACGCTCGAACGCACATGTCTACGAGTCTACGTGAGTAAATGAATACTCTGTAGAAACGACAGTGTGGTAGTCAGGTAGATATCGGCAACGTCGCACTCGTAGTACTGTAATGGTGGTTGCTCAATCATGAGTCTAGACTAACCTAACTTAGAAAACAGCTAAGCAAAGCTTAAGCCATAAACGCTTCCATTACTTACCATTATTATTTTGTCATGTGCTTGTTCTTAAGCGGAGGGATGCACATAGGTTGAATCTTGTAAAACTGTGTTACTAATAAAAAAACCGTAACAAAACAAATACTCAACTGACTACTGAGCCGCATTTTTTTTTATAGTGGGACGGATGTACTGTATGACTGACGTGAGGAAGGCATGGGATGGTGGGAAACGGGGATGTGCGCGGCAATTTTTAAGTAAATTTTTCAAATTATAAAGCTTGAAAAAAATAAATAAAAACCTGATTCTCGGGGGGGGGGGGGGGGCATGGCCCCTATGGCCCCCTCTCTGGAACCGCCACTGATACTTACTACAAAATGTCAAGTTATTCTTGAGTCAAAAGGTATCAATTAATTAATTAAATGCATAGCCTACAGTAATTCAGATTCATGGAGCTGTGATTGCATCCTCGATTTCTTAACTTCATCTTTTCTTATTTAAAGAAGCTATGAATACTATGTGATTGATACTTTTTAATATAATGCTTAATATTTGAATATTATGATTAGTAATAAATATATTTTATTCTTTGTTGCAGACAAGAGCAGTTCAAGATCCAGAAAGAAGAAGAAATGGATATATCCATTCCACAGAAGGTTTTGAAATATGAAGAGTTCATCAATGATGTCCTTAAAGAGCAGTTAAAGAAAATTGAATTTGATATTGATATAACTTTGACTGAAATAGCAGAGTTCATACAACTAGGAAACATCATTCAAGCATTGCTAGATAACAATCTTGTGCAAGAAGGTGTAAAGACTCAAGTAGATTTAGGATGTAACTTTTATATGCAAGCATTTGTTAAGGATCCATCTAAAATTTTAGTTGATATTGGCTTGGGTTACTATGTTGAGTTTACTCTCAGTGAAGCTCTTATAGTCATAAAAAGACGCACAATTGTTCTTAACAAAAAAGTGGATATTTTAAGGGATCAAAGTGCTCAAACAAAAGCTCATATCAAATTGGTATTGCATGGTATTCAAGAATTGCAAAATTTAAAATAAAAATTCTTAGCAGTTGATAACATTTTAATGATTTCCCCTTATAATATAGGTAATTTGATTTATTTTCCATTGTTGATTTTAAAAAATAGTGAAACAAGTAGACTTTTATTTTTGTCTAGACATTGAATAGTTTTAAAGTATCTATATTTGGTTCAATCAATAAATACCACACAGACAATGTATACAGAAAGCCATCTGTCCAACTCTTTATTCCACTCTGCTGCAATTTTTTTAAAGATAAAGTAAACAATTACTTTTCAAGTCAATAACACAACTCGTAGCTATTAGTAAGAAATCACTCTTATATCGAATTTTCTCCAAAGGGAAGAAGCTATTGCCATTGGTTGCATCGTAATACCTAGACCTAGTACCATTTTACTTTTTCATTATGATGTCTCCAGACACCAAAAACACCATTGAAATTTATTTAGGATACTGTATATTAGTAATGTGAAAGTCGAGTTGACTCAAGTCAGGATTTTGTCAACTCGAATTGAGTCCGAACGCACACGAGTAAATCCTTAGGTACCCGAAATTAAGTTACACCACTAATCATTAAGTTTACACCAACAAACTACTCGGTATTATTGGTAAAAATCAATTAGGTCAATGAGTATATAATGCGGGTCTACTCGCAAGGATTTCTAGAACGTTTTATCTGCGCAGGTAAAACGTTGCAGTCAAGTCGTTGCAAAGAAATGCATCCACGGTACAGGTTTCAGCACCAACTTTTAGTGTAGTTTTGTGATAACTTTCAGTGTATGTGCATGTAATATCCATCGATATATAACTACTACTGGATTGCGCGCTGTCCATAAGAGCTGTGTAGAGAAATTCGGTCGCGTACAGGTGTGTGTGGCGGGACGTATCGCGGTGTTGCAGGCGCCCGGTAGGGGCAAAACAGCAACTCGCGCCGCCACCCGCTGCTATTCCTGCTAACGAACTATCCCGCCAAAAAATTATTCCGCCACTAGCAACCCCGCCAAATCTATAATAGTTTTTTTTAACAATTCGAGGTCATGTACGAAGAAGCAAAAGTAAACCACCTGTGAATGAATCATCCTGCCAGTTATTAGTGGACAGATAGCACTTTCACGTGGTAGTTTGGTTAGCAATGTATGAATTAATGAAATATGAAATAATGATTTATTCCACCATAATTACATTACATACAAATCAAATAAAAACTTGGAATTACGTTGCCACAGCATCCAGTTAATGTGACAACGTTCAATAAAAATTAACAATATAAAGTACATTCTATAAACTTTCAGTCCAGTCCACACATGAAAAACACCTTGCCACTCTCTGTGGCGTCTTGATGACAGTTGTTAAATTAAACAAAATAATAATATTATTACAATAATAGATATTTACAATAAAAATATATTAAAAAATAAATCCTATATAAGCAGTATAAAATCATGTAAATCGACAATTTAAAACAAGATTTGATAATTACAATACAAAACGTTAAATTTGCAAAGATTTAGAAAAAAATTCTTTATGTTACAACACTATTTTAAAAATCTATATTTGGCGTCTCAATTAACCACTTTTTTATTTGAATAGAAAATAACTTTAAATTTGCACTGCTTTTGATATCGTGAGGTAATTGGTTAAAATATTTTGGCCCACTGTACTGATAAGACTGTCTAAATATTGATTTGTTTACTTTGGGCAATCTAAATAATCTTTGACTGTTGCTTCTTGTGTTTTATGAAGGATTGTTTGTTCCATTATTCCCACTTCGAATATAAAAAAGTCTTAAAACTTTATAAAAGAGCAGGTGTTGAATTGGAAGTATTTTTAAATGGACAAATAATGGATAGGAGCTATCTCTCTTCTGAGACGGAAGATCAAAATTCTTCAACCTCGGCTAAACAGAAGAGATCCTACGATAAAATCCATGCGTGAAATGATTGTAGTGTTTAAGAAAAAACTTAAAGCACCTGGTTAATAGAGGTTTTAGAGGAAAAGTTGTCAGGATTTCCGTTAGATTTAATTGCCCATTCTATGAAAAATAGTAACACCAGTAAATTCAGGACCGTGTATTCAGAAAAAATGAAAGAATTTGCTCTCACTGTCTATTTTTACAGTCCTAAGGCATACAAATACAGAGACAAAGGCAATTGTTAATTGCGATATTGATGACTGTGAAGAAAACGATGTAATTGACTTTCAAAGAGTGATATCTGCGGAAACTGGATCATACTATAAGAATAATGTATCAGTATTATATGTCTGGTTTTATTGTTAGAACAATATTAGGTACAGTAACATCCTTGCAGTAACATGTGAAGAATGTGTTAGTCTTTTGACAGCTGACGAATGCAATTTAAGTAGCTACACCCATATGTCTAACGTTGACTTTGCAGAGGTCACACACGAAATTAAGCTGATAAAATCGGAAATTTGTTTTTTTTTTTAATAATTTGCTACAGTCATGCTAAAGAGCAAACCATTGCACTGTCAAAAGTTGGTATTCGTCAAAAGCTTACAAAATTAGTACTTTTTAATCATGCGTGAAATGTAGGCTACTCTGTGTGGTACTGTATTCAAATACTGTACAGTAAATGGTTTTTGGTACTTCAGTATTAAACGGAGGCCACATTTTGTCAGCGCGCTGCGGCGGTAATGTTAGGTTGGGTTATCGTAAATATTATGTGTGTAGGACTTTCCTCGCTTCGTTATGAATCGAACGATACTTTCTATTATGATAACCCAACCTAACATAACCGCCGCAGCGCGCTGACAAAATGTGGCCTCCGTTAAATACTGAAGTACCTGGTTTTTATACAACTGTGCTGTATTTTTATTGTTTAATTTATCAACCTTTTTATAAAACCCATAACCCAAACCATCCAAGCAATTTTTTAAATACAACTACTATGTTATCGCTCAACTTTATAACAATGTAAATACACGTTGTACTCTATAGCAATTACTGTAATAGATTACTAACTTATATACTTTCAGTTTTTAATATAACTATATAAGTGAGTCAAAATATCCCCCGATGAACATTTTTCGTGAATCAATAGTTAAAATAGGGTAAACAAATGCTATCACAGAGTCAGTGCGATGTAAAACCCAAGCACCGTGCGGGTTTCTTGCCCCTTTCTTGCCCCTACCCGACGCCTTCAAGTGCAGAACGCAACCACTGATTTCGGCTCGGGCTAGCGAGCTCAGCCAGCAATCCAGTAGTAGTTATATATCGATGGTAATATCATGGAAGATGTGTTACTGTGGTCAATTTCTGCAGCCAGTGTTACAAGAAATCAAAGAAATAAGTCTGAGCGACGACGGCGCTTACTATGGTCAAGATGGTTACTAAAAAGACAACCAATTTCATAATAGTTTCTCTGTTCACGTTCGAATCTACTGCTTTGTATTTTTCAAAAGTCTTTTTCTTATCACAGTCACTATGTTCCTTACTCTTGACCCTCCATTAGTAAGGAAAACTTCTGTACAGTTCGATGAATTCAACAATAAAATCACAGGAACATTGGCGAAGATCTGAGATCGTAATAAAAAAAAAAAACACACTTATACTCCTGACAGCATGTGAAGACAACACTGCATACTGGGGTTTTGAGCGTGAAGACGGAGTTGAAACGGATGACAGTGTAACCACGCAACGACTTGTCTGAAAACGTTGTCAAAACTATGCTCTCCACAATAGTTTTATCGCTCCGCCTTCCGTCTCCGCGCAGTTCTCAAAAGTGCACAGTTTTGCGGTACACACGCAACGATTTACATGTGCAGGTAAAACGTACGGCAAATCCTTGCGTGTAGACCCGTCTTTAGACTGGGTTTTATTGATTATTTTTATCATGAAACTATGAATTCGTAGGGGGATACTAAGCTGACACAAAACCAGCCGACTCGACTCGCAAAACTAAATGTTATTGGCTGAATAACGAGTCCAACTCGCGAAACTAACACAAAATTGGTCGAACGCAAGTCCAACTCGTTAATTTAACACTCCATTGACGAGTCTGGCTCATACGACAACTCGAGTTGACCATGAGTCCACTCGGAAAAACCGGCTGCCATCTGTCCCAGTTGGACTCGAGTTGAGGAAACGAGTCGAGTCGAGTCAAACAAGTCAGGAATATACTCGTCTCGTCACATCACTACTGTATAAGTATCCGTTAATGCAATAACTCTAGCTATTTTGGTCCGATTTTGATAACATTGGCATGCATGTGTAAGGCTAGAAATACTCTTGATTAAGATTGTAAACTATCAAAATCAGGTAATAGGAACAGAATGTTTAAACATTTTTTTTTAGTTGGGTTTCTTAAAATTTTTACCCTTAAAACATTGAAATGCCCAATTTTCACTTCAGTCATGGTATAGACCTTAAAAAACAAATAATATATTGAGGTTGTAGGTTGCGCTTGTTTACAGATATACAACAGAGCCCCAATAACAAGTCTTATCATGGGGATCATCAAATAGAGAGATTATATATTCTTTTATTAAAATCTCATTTTAAAAACACTTTTTTCCTCCCCTGTAACAGCAATCATAAGTACACTTGTTAAATCTAATGTTATCTAAATACAGAATAAATCGGAAATATTTTTGTAAAAACCCAATGAGACGAATAGAAATTTGCTTAGCCTGCAAGTTTGCTGCTGGGATATCTATTATCATAGATAAAACATAGTTTTATCTATGCTATTATCTTATTTGTTCTGGGTCTTGAGTATTTGAGTAAGGTTTAAACATATCAAAGAGTGGAACTTTTTCTGGAAGTGAATGTCAATGGCCCCAAATTGTGGAGGCTCAGGTCTCCTCTTGGTTCCGTACCTTGGAACCTCTTCTTGGTGTAGATACTCCGTACTCCTTAGTCGGCTAATCCGTGTAATGATGATGGAGCTGGGGAAGTCAAAGGGCCCTGGTTATTAATAATTAGGTAGAAGATTTTACCAAATCCTAGGGTAAGATGGGTCTACTCAGGTCTAATCAGGGGGCGTACTCTATCTAGCCCC